ATTATAAGTTAATAATTAATTATTAATTTTTATGTATATTACACACACACACACAAAATTTCTATTTTTGTCTGTTATTTTTTAATCTATACAGAACCAAGCCTGCTCATATTTAATGAAAATTATGTTCATAATTTCACACACTAATAGATCCACCATTAAGAACTTTTCAAAATAACGTTGGATATAAATATCGCTTTTTAAAGTTTACCACACCACGAAACTGGGGAGGGGGGAAAAACAGAACAAAATTTTGCTTACATGGCATATACACAGCTTGAAAGCTTCCAACATAATTTGGTCCCAGTTCATAGATGGTGCTAATGCTTGATTGAGGCAAGACTTCTTCTAAGAAATAAGTAGGTCCCAATCTCCAAACAAGAGTAGAGAGCTGGCGCTGGGCAGGTGGTGTGCCGATATAGGCGTAAACGGTGCTAACTACTGGTGGATTAGCACAACTTGAACCTCCAGGGCTGCTGTGAATATAGTGAAGCTGTAAAATAGAGACCACTTCTGTGAGAAATATTATCATTTATATTGTATCCTTTATTGCATTAACACAAGAATACTATCACACCAATTGTCCAGAAGTAGTAGTTGCACATCCTGCCCCTGTTTCAACTGGACTGGCTGATGACAAAGTATTTCAACATTTCATACAGAGTACAATTCTCTACTTAAACTGGCATATATACCAGTCAAAATGCACCAGTCAAAATAGATACAATATGCTAATTTTTCTTAATGCTACATAAAATTACTTTTAATGACTGTGATTTGTTATTAGTGCTGCAGCCCCAAAATAAAACCTTAATCAATTACAAACAGCTTTTCAATCTGTTTAAATCAGCATATAATTTACATGTAGGTTACGAACAAAAATATCAGCATACAATTTCCTTGTATTTTTAGGTATGTTTGAAAGGAGGAAATACTGGTTTTAAACACAGCAACAAAGAGAAAGAGAGGGAGAGGGGGGATTTAAAATTTTCAGCTTCATTTTGCAATCACCCTTAATAATTTAAGGCTGCAATCCAGTGCACACTTATCTAAGAGAAAGCTTGCAGAAAAATAAATTCTGAATACATAGGAATGTACTGCTCTACTGAATCTCGGGTGAGAAGCCATTCATTTATAAGTGTATAATTCCTTTGTTCAAATATGCAGTAAATGAATAAATCAGTGTCTTGGCAAGAAATTCCACACTATTAAGTACTGTTACTGTATTTTACATTGGGGGAAAATGCAACAAAGATTTCTGTTTTCTGAACTAGAAGCTACTGTTAGGACAAAGTATGGAGAACAGAACAGTCTCTCTTGGACAAAAGTATCAGACAAGGGTCCACTTTATCTTCCTATTTGTTCAACCATATGCAAAATAAGTACCATTTAAAAATCTGGATTAGAGTCAGATGCTGGAGGAGTGAATTATCAGTGGGCAAAACATTAACAATTGAAGATATTACTAGCAGAATTACACCATATTAGTGCAGGAAAAAGAAATCACTTGCAACAACTCCCTGATGAAGGTTAAAGAAGAAACTTCAAAAGCAGGATTACAGTTGAACATTAAGAAAAAACATGGCTACAAAAGAATTATGTAACTTGACAATGAAAAAACTGAACTTGTTAAACATTTTCTACACTTCGGTTTAATAATCAATTCAGAAGGAGACTGCAGCCAAGAAATCAGAAGAAGATAGACTTGGAAAAGTAGTTTTGAAAGAACTAGTAAAGTTATTTAAATGTAAGGATGAGTTGCTGGAAACAGAGGCCAGGACCATCCATATCATGATGTTCCCAGCTGCAATATATGGATATGAAAGCCAGACAGCTGATGGGAAAAACCTGATTCAATGGAAATGTGGCACTGGGGACAGTTGTATCAATATCACAAGCAGCCAGAAAGAGAAATAAGTGGGTTCTAGATCAAATGAAGGTTAAATTCTCGCTAGTCACTAACATTGCTAAAGGACATGTGATGAGAAGACAAGACTCAGTGGAAAAGACAATAATGCTAGGAAAAGCGAAAGCAGTAGGAAAAGAGCAAGATGTACCCTGAGATGAACTGACTGAACAAAAGAATCCACAGTCTTGAGTTGAAAGACCTGAGCAGGGATGCTAATGACAGGACTTTTTGGAGGTCATTAATTGATGACCTCCAAAACCAAAAATGGAAGTATTAATCTGAAAGAAAGGCATTGACACAATTTCTTATTGTCTGCACAAGCAAAGACTCGTGTGGGTCTTCTTTCAATTCAGGGGTGCTGCATTCCCCCCACATCCAGCCAGCTTCTTGCAAGAATGAAAAAGAAATGCTGCCGTTGTATCCCACAAAAGACTGTACATAAAGCAGTTACAGTTTAAGGAGCAGTTGGTAACGAAACGACAGAAGCCTCTGAAGACATAAAGCATTCAACATAGGAGAAAGGCTTTTTGGGAGGAGGTTTTCAAGACTTCTCTCACAATACGCAATAAATCCTGAAGCAACTTTGCCATCTGTTAAAAATATAGCTGTGAAACAGAATTTGTGGTTTATTTTAGCAGCACCTTTGACAAGCAATATCTGCTTCTCCTTCCAGCAGTAAAAGCAGATTTAACCCTCCATCTGTTAGTCTGTGTGGGTATGCATTTTCCCCTTTTAATGTAGTGAATGACTGCCATTCTTGTTTAAGGGGAAAAAAATTACACCTAGGAACACCACCTGCCTCTTACTTGGAGGAAGGCTTCTACTTAGAGGAAGGTCACTGCGTACGATCCTCTCGTGCTTTTTTCCTCTCTTGCTTAAGATAACTGCAGACATTTTGCTAGTTCAAAAATAATATTCTCTGAAATTTAAAGCTACTTATAAATTTGTGGCGCATGATTAACTGCTTGAAAGGGGTTTGTTGTGTATTCCATCTTTTTAAGGGTGACTTAAAGATAGCTAAAACATGCCCATTTAATAACATACAAGTTATTACAGATATGTCAAATTCAGAAACTAAAGAAGCGCTTGCACTGTTTTTAAAGGTGGCACAAAAAGTTACGACAGTGAAATCAGGAATAACAGAGAAGAGGGGAACAAACAAAAATTCACAGGCGACTGACTGCTCAATTCAATAAATCAAACTCCCGGCAACACTGAAATGGCAACAGGCTCATCTTCTGTAAAAGCCTCACACACTGCCTGTACACATTTCAGCAAAATATTCTTTTGTTTTAATTTTTTGCTTGTTGGGTGGTATTGAAGAGTGACAGCATCACAAAATAAGCTGTCATGTATATTAGAAAGGCTCTGCTACAAGAAGGAAGGTTTGTGTACTAAAATAAATGAAAAGGAAATCAAGCAAAACTACCAGGGTGCTGATCTACCTACATAATCTATACACTACCTAGGATATATAAGTCAGTGAGAATAAGAAGGCTGCTAAACATCAACTCTCTGTTGCCACTACTAGAAACCAATGTACTTGGAAATATTATGGTAAGGTCTCAGCTGAGAAAGTGCAAACATGCTTCACTATCAGCAGCTGAAAGGAACACGAGATATTTTTCTTGTTACTTCAGCCAACCAAACTAAAGTCTGTAATGTTTAGCACACTTCAGAAAGAACCCCCCCCCTGCTCAATTTTAATATAAAAATGATGAATGCTTAAGTAGCCAATGACTTGGCCAAAAACACACATTTCTTCTGGGGGAAAAATACAAGCACAGGCCAATAGCACTGAGTGGTCATGTTGCTCCTCTGACGGCTCTTAATAAAGTGGGGAATATTTAATTTAAAACAGAAGAGATGCTGCACACACAAAAACCAACCTGAAGTTTGCTACTGCAGATTTAAATAATGTGGATTATATACTGCTGGGAAATGAACATTCTTTTTCTTATGTTTTCCTGGGTTTTCTTACAGCTTCGCAACCCAGGTACAGAACTGGGTTTTTGGTTCTCGATGACTCATTGTTTGTGTGATTGAGGCTGACGGCTTCTCTTCCTGCTAACCAGCTATTCTGTATGCCATACAATGTTAGAAGAGATTCCCTGAGGAGAAATTAATATATCCACAGGCCTTTAAGAAGATAGAAGCTAATATGGTCAACTCTGTGTTTCAAGAACACCTGGCTAGGTAAAAATAGTTCTATTAGTGGCAGCAGTCAACCTATTTTGACCTCCATTCAGGGATCCTGTGGGGAGACTCAAAACAGGCATGCCAGTCATAGCGGAAGTTAATTGTAAACTGACCTTTATTCTATTCATTTTATTCTAAGCATTAAATTGCAAGTACAGCATGTGCAACATTCTAGGCAACAACAACGATGGAGGAATTCTGTCAATTCATCTGTTAATCTCAGGTTTTAATCCTATATATCAGACCTGGCTTTTTGACAGCTAATTTCCTTTGACTCTATAGCTTGTACAGACTTTGAAGCACGAAGAATTGAACAGTGACTTAACTGCTTAACATATACCTTCAATGTCAAGCCAGTTCTGCTTTTGATACTGTAGTTGGGATTATACGAATGGAAATAAAGGGCTATTTGTGCTGCAAAGGTTGCATCGGGAATGGGAAGCACATGGCCCTCTAGAAATCTGTGGACTGTAATTTCTATTATATGTCACCACTGACTATGGGTGATTGGAATAGCAGTCCAACAGTATCTCAAGGCCTACAACCTGTGGCATAGCTGATTCCATGCAACCAAAAAAAAGCATTAGATTTTTTTTGGCCTGCATCTAGAACAATGCTGCCACATTGCAAACCACTCCTGAACCAGAAAAGAAAACACCATTTCAAAAGCAGTTTCTGCACTGTCCTGTACCACTGACTATATTGGCTAGAATGATGGGAGTTGTAGTCCAAGAGCATCTAGAGGGCAACATTCTCCCCATCTGTGGGTTTGACTGAGGAGAAGGAGGCATAGTCAACTATTTCCGATATGGTCAAGTCACACCACTTACCCATAATAGCAAGTCTCCATGTCATAAGAATAGTATTCATAATCTCCAAGTCCCTGTTGTAAAACAAATGTAAGGCAGCTACCAGTGAACCTGGATTGCCTTCTGGCGAAAAACACAAAGTAACTCATGCAGGTCACACTGTGCTTCAAAGGCCATCGCATGTAAGAGAGTTTGCAGTACCTCGCACACATTATTTCCAAAAGGATAAGAACGCTGCGGCACTTTACTTACTTTTACAGTGTTTATTAGCTGTCCATCAATGTAAAGTGCAGCAGTGCTGTTTTTTAGCATGCCTTTGCTCATCACAAGAACAATATGATGCCACTGGCCTTCCACTATGTGATCACCACAACGAAAACGAGCACAGCAAGGGAGAATCTCGTAGCAGGAGGACTCTTCACTGAAGTCATCAACTGAAGAGAAACAACTTTTGTTCTTTTTCAATGGCATAAAAAAAGGTGTGTCCGCCCCCCACCCCATGATTATATTTAATATATCAAAATAGCTGTATATCAGGCTAACTCTAATTTGTGTATATTAAGGTTACAATTAGTGAAACTTTAAACTGACTCATTAGTGCACATTAGACTGACACATGGGTGTACACTAAGGTTATAATTTAGCAGCATATACTGTATGCATCATACTCTGGACACACTGTAAGAAGGTGGGACTCACTGGAAAAGACAAGAATGCTAGAAAAAGTGAAAGGAGGGAAGACTTAACATGAGATGCATTGGCTCAATAAAAGAAGCCACAGCATTTAGTTTGCAAGACTTGATCAGGGCTGCTAATGGAGGTCATTAATGCACAGCATCACCACAAAGTCTAACATGCCCTGAGAGCACACATAACAACATGTATGAACCAACTTTAAGATTCTCTGCATAATTAGGATTGCAATTTTGCAATCTTACTTTGTAGACAGCCCATAAATCAGAGTTGCTCAAACTCATCACCTTTTTCTCACTGCAACAAACCACAGTTTATCAGTTACATTAATACACACAGGTAGGCAAGAGTCAGGACGTTTCTCACCATAGTTCTGAAGAAGCTCTTCTTTAGTAGATACAATCAATGAACGGTCTTTTACAGAGAGGACAATAGCAAGGCATATGTAATGCTGCTCAGAACTGTTTGCTCGCCTTACAACCGTAAGCAGTCTAACTGGATGATGATTTGGGGTTGTGCTAAAATGTTCTACACAAAACCAACATGAATAGCTCAGACCAGACGGTGGTGGGAATAGCCTTTCTCCTGTAGACAAAAAAAAAGTATTTAATTAGAACTGATGGGGAATAGCACAAAAATATTATATCCATTGTCCCTTCACAGTTCTGAACAAGCTTTCCCACATTTAATATTCATGAAGATGCTTAAGATGGAACTCTTTAAGGAGTTTCTTCCCCCAAGATAGTTGTGGGAGTTGGTTTCATACTATGCTGCCATCATTTGGTATTTAGTTTGGATTTTAATTTAATTTTGACACTTGTTATTGTGTATTCTGGGGCTTTGTTTGGCATTGGGGGTGGTTTGGGTGCAATTTATATATTGTTTATTGCCCTGAGTAATATGTGTCATTAAGTCAGGCAGTATAAAAATGACTAAAATAAATACACAGTTGTTCACATACAAGTATGCCATAAGCGACAACTAAATAAATTTATACTATTTACCATTGCAATATGTATAATTTAACTTAAAATTCTATTTCTATAACAATAGGGTTTTTTTAAAAAGATGGTACAATGCTTTCTATTTTCAGTACATGCAAAAAGATTTACTTTAAACTTCTGAAAATAAATGTTAACATTAGTGGAAGTAAACTGTATATCAAAAAGCTGGAGAAAGCACCAAAACCACCCAACACGATCACAGCCAAGGATGTACCTGTTCCAATTCCACTGACTACGGTGCCATCAATAAGACCTGTTGTTACCACATTGTTGGTTGGTGCATTGTGAGGTGCCAAACTTGGCAGGAATAGACAACTGTTAAATAAAAAACAATGAGTTAGGACTATCACAAGATCCTGAACATAAATGTTCAGGGTAAATGAGAACGGTCTTGTGTCACTATCTTTTACATAAGGGCATGAAATAAAATAAGCCACAGGCATTCACTACATTTCACAATAAGCTGCACATGACCTAAGCTTTTGGCTTCCAAGTAAAGTAATACAATAGTCCTTAGAAGTTGGAATGGTCCTGTACAGGTACTACCTGTCTTTTACCTATTTTTCAACTGACACATTACTTTCTTTGCATTACAAACAAACATACATGCACATGCTTCCTTGATCTCAAAAGTTACGTTTTGAGCTTCTCCATAAGTTATGTAAACCATAGTTAATATACATTAAATGTTATCACTGCATTCATGGTAAATGCATGGTAAATATGACGTCTAGAAAACTGATACAAAACAGTAGGTAAGAGGGAGAGAAGACTCAAATTCCACAGCACAGCCTCAGTCTTGTAATGACTGAGCTACCACTGCATCTTAGCAGAATTGCTCATTTCCTCCAGGCAGGAATAAGAATTAATTTTAAGGAGATAATTCTTCACATAATCATTTCAAATAAGAGCATTAAGACCGTCATAATGTGACATTATGACAATTAACTTTTAGAAATTAAACCTCTTTATAGATCAAAACAACACAAAATCTAAGTAACTTAAGACCAGGATTTCAAAAACAGCTAAGCTGTATGTTCAAGTCTACACATCTGATTATGGTAATCAAATATGCTGTTTCATGATCACTAAACTGACTTTCTAAAGCAACTGTTTGAGAAAAGAATTCTCCACATCTGTTTCTTTTTATCAAGTGGAAACCAGTGCCACCTCTTAATAAGAAGTGTGGTGGATGAGATGTAAAAGAGGCCAAAGGCTTTTGCATGGGGGGCTTCAAAAAGGTGAAAACATGCCAGCTGCTAAGCACCAATCTGGCAGGCATAAAAATTTATCCTCCTTGGCCTCCAAAGGCAATCAACATATGCTAGGCGCATCGATGCAATAAAAAGGTGGGTGGGTAGCTCATGCTGCCTGCTCAGTGGAGAGAGTCCAAGCAAAGGAGGAAGAGAATCTCTCAAGATGCCAGGATCTCATGAGATTCTGACTCAACGATTTCACCACAGAAGTGTAGCAACATGTGGGCTCTTCTCAAGAAGCTTTGAGGCAATAATTGCCTCGTCACAGGACTGCCATCTCCCCAGCTCTCTGCAACCCACCCCCAGCAAGCCACCTGGGGAGGGGTGTTTTTAACCATGCATTAAATATATACTAAATCTACACATGTTTATTTTGGGGGATGATTTTTATTCCAAATTCAATAGGTACAGAAGATGCATTAAATGGGAGTTAGCCTTCCATAGCATAAATCATAGGTTCAAATACAAACACCTTTTAAAACAAACATATCACTTTTAAAGAGAAAAGAATGAAACACAAGCTTTCATAAAATCTTACCCAAATCCTTCAAGAGATGTGTCAAATTCAACAAATGCAGGAGTAACTGATGATCCATGAAGTCTAATATCATGTGGAGTTGTCATGGAAACCAAACATTTCACCCTCGTCAGGGGTACTGTGCTTCCTTCTGCTGGTTTTAGAAGACTTTTACTTATCCTGTAGTGGTTATCTTCGTGTAAACTGAACACACAGTCAGTACCCAGACCTTCCATTGAGGTAACCATACTATCTACAGTAGAAGTTGAAAAACAAAACATTTTTTCCTTCATTATGAGAATTCGTTTCAGTTCCCTTGGCCAAACTGACAACAAATGACAAAAATAAAATTAAATAAATAAATAAGGGAGGGAAGGGAAGTGAGACAAATGGGAGGGGTGACCAATATGTTTTATATCTTGCTATACAACATTCAACATGGCGTAGCCACTTTGGCTGGCCAAATGACAAAAATAAAATTAAATAAATAAGGGAGGGAAGGAAAGTGAGACAAATGGGATGGGTGACAAATATGTTTTATATCTTGCTATAAAGTCAGCTCAGTAGTTGTCATACAACATTCAACATGGCGAAGCCACTTTGGCTGGTTGTACATAAAGCTGAACCCATATTTATAAGCAGATGCCTGCAAAACGAGGACTCAGAACGGTAATGAAAATTTCATTTAAAGAAATACAAGGTTACAAACACAGACTAATATATCTCAATGCAACCTATGCAAGTGACAGTATTAAAATGCAATCAATTCAGCATAATGCAAGCATTATAGAGTAAAACAAAAGGAAAAGGAAAAGTTAAAAAGAAAAAAGACCAAACGATATATCCTTCTCTTATATCTGATAAAAGGGACTTTTCCACAAAAGCTCATATTAAAAACAAACATAAGTTGGTCTTCAATTTGCCACCACATTTTTTTCACTTTTTATTTTTATTTTTTTACCTATTATGAATTCTAAGGAAGTCAATGAATAAAGTGAAAAAAGACTCAAACTGAATTGTAAATTGCACTGAAGGTTTGTTGTTTTACTCCTTCCAGTTATACACAGTGACACGTGATTTATTGCTAATCTACGAAAGAGAGCAGACCTGTTGGATCAATCACTGAATGTAAGTCAACACCTGTTTAATACTTACTGAGTCAATGGATCTACTCGATTTGGGACGACCAAGAGGATATTGAAAGAGAAAACAGTGAAAGGGCTTTTTTTTTTACTGTATTAATGAAATTTCAACAGATCAAGACTGTGAACTAGAACAGATCTATACCATCTGTCATGGTTAAGAGATCAGGGACATCAGCAGGACTGGATGCTCCTATTTTAACCCCAGTCTATATTCAGTACTATTTACTCCATAATTAACCATAATTACAGGGGATCTCAATACAATGCATTATTAAAGGATAATGTAATCAAATATTCCTAGAGTATCTAAGATTTGTAGCCAGGATCTGAAGGTTGTTTCAGATCCTCTGTCCTAGAGAACCCTAGTTAGCTTGTAACTGCAATACATCCTGCTGGAAAAAGTTAGTCACAGTGAGCTCTGGTTGAGAAAATGCTCGTTCCAGAAGAAGATCTGAAAGGGAGAAAGCATGCAGTCCTGTGGTTAAGCCCATATTAGATCTGAACCAGCCTTTGCTGTTACTTTAACAGACTTTTCAAAGACACACTAACTTCAATGAATTTTTACTTGCCTATGCTCTGAAACAACATGACCGGATAATAGAACTACTGTACCCCAAATATATTTCAAATGTTTGCACACTTACTTCGCATTTCTGGCTCATAACTGAGTGAGCTTGGCTTATGTACACGATATCGCTTCAACAATTTTTTGTCCCAGGCTCCACAATTCAGTGGATTTCCCAAGCGTAAAAATTCCCTAAGGAAAAATGAAGAGGGAAGAGGATCAGTTTCAAGACATTAAAGTTTGCTTCTATTTGACAGATGTAAAGGCTTCTTTTCTATACTGTATTTTACCTTCCAAGTATTACAGAACTGCACCGTAAACACAGAATAGTGTTTTAACATTGAAAATAGCCTATAGACTTCTAGCTATCATATTCCTGAAGAAAGTCACTAGTATATACAACAGCTGCTGAAACATAGGGCAAGCTGAAGGGATTTTCTGACAAAGGTACCGTGTGTATAGATTTTAAAATCTTGTTTTTGGGAGCATGACCATGTACATCATCTCAAAGCCTAGGAAAATTTGGACTTTACATTTACACTTCTAGGTATCTGTTGGAACATCTGGGAACCAACAAAAGATAGCAGATGCAATATTATAAACTGGCTAGACTAAGTATTTATAGTTTTCTTTATTTCTATGTTTCTTTACAAGCTTTATATTGCGCATTTCTTCCAAGACAAGAATTCAAGAAGGCACACAAGATGATTAAAAAAGCAGATAAAACTGAACCACAGATAAAACTGAACCAGTATATTGAAATACTGAAACACAGGTAAACAGAATAGTGTATTAGAGCAACACGATTAAAAGAACAATTTTAAAACAGGACAGTAAAAAAAAAATACACGTACACCAGTTCAAGCTATTTTCTAAGCAGCCAGACAGCTTCCAAAAACCTGCTTTAAAAAAATCCATGCTGAACAAAAGATAAGAAGGAAGGAGCCCTATTATGTCCAGCCAACTGCAGGAAATACAGCAAGCTTACATTTTTTCCCATCTAAAACAAATGAGAAGTGAAAGAGAGGCTACAAGCATATCTTCATTCTACAGAACCTATATGTGAAATGGGAAAACATGTCCAGAACCTTCACATGAAATTCCTCCCATCCAGATGGGGTTAAGCATGCATGTGGCACGCTCTTCCCTTACCAGCACCAATTGGCAATTCACAAGGCCACATCTACTAAAAGATGGGTTTCTGCTCATAGTAGTTCAGTCACTCCAAGAAATCTACAAAGCTTGTTCTTAGGCAACAGCTAGACTCCTAGTGCTGTTAGCAGAATGGCCACTTAACATGCCTAACTGAGGAGGTGCTAGGGTGCTATGTGCCTGGCCATGCAACTGAGACACACCCCACCACTTCATTAATTAGCTACAACTGACTGGTCACAGCAAGTTACACAGTCTTTTTGTGAGTACCCATAAGATTCTGGTCAGTACTTTTCTAGCTTATTCTTCCTTCCCATACTAAAGGATAAACAATAAAACACAGATCTGAGAGTGGCTGTAAGACATTACACTGTTTCACAGATCACCAACTTTGCTATCAGGGTATTTACAGCATAACAAGCAGCTCTAAAGTATGGAGATTATCTCACTGAAGATAGAAATGTTATGTGTAAGCCAGTCTTCAGCACTGAGCTATCTTAAAACATTCTGGCTTGTGTGACAGAACCATCTCATTCCTTCATCACCATGAAAATCAAGGAGAAAGTCACATTATTCTTGTTCACATGTTTTATGCCAAGCAATTTTACTATTTTATTTCTATGAGAGTTCACAATTCCCAAACTCTTAAAATCTCATCATTATGTGAATAATGAAGGTCTGAATTAAAGTAATCCTTCCCATTTACCTCAGCACCATCGGCTCCAATGCCTGTGAGGCCAGCCTTTCAAACATCCTCTGGAGTGGAGGATGTAAAGGGTGGTCTTCATCAGCAAGAGCAGCACTACATCTCTGCAGAAGTCGTGCATGGAGTCCAGCCTCACACATGACTTGCTGATTTCTTTCCATATGCACTAGAGATTGCAAGATGTTGACAACGGCAAGCTGAAGATCAAGGGTGTGCTACAAATTGGACATGTACATAAATAATATGAAAAAATACGTTAGAAAATTCTGAACCGAAGTAAAAAAAATGAATTAAGACAATTGCAACCTTTTCTGAACACTTAGCCATTGGAACTCTGGTTGATACATTCAGATCAGCTGAATTAAGACAATTGCAACCTTTTCTGAATACTTAAAACAGCCATTGGAACTCCGGTTGATACATTCAGATCAGTTTAATTTTACAACTAATTCTATATACAGAATATTTATGACATTATATCTGTTTTGTAAATTGAAAGAAAGAACCATGAACTGAAAGTCTGCAAGGTGTTTGGTTTTAAAATGTGTTTTGTTTAAAAGGTGTTCGGTTTGGTTTAAAATATGTTGTTGTAAAATGTGTGGGTTTAAAATGTGTTTTGGATTCCAGAATTCCTCCCCCCTCCAATGTCTTCTCTTTCTCTACTCTCTTTTCGTGCTTAGCAGCACAAACCTTTGTCTGATCCCCCTTGTATAAGTACCTTGGTGCCAAGCATCTGCTTTCGGTTTTGTCAACTGCCGCTTAATAGTAAGCAAACAATGGCGTGATGGGGTTCCCTATTGTTCCCTCCCTCCCTCCTTTCCTACCCTTTTTTAAATCTAGGTTCATCCTAGGTTAAAAGAAGAAAAAATCTCCCACTAGTGGTAGAGGACGCATTAACCAGTTTTGCATTAGTTCCTATGGGAACTAATGCTTTGACTTACAAACTATGCCTTGACATAAGAACAAAAAACAGCCAGAACGAATTCATCAGTTTTCAGTGCATTCCTATGGGAAATGCTGATTTGACTTATGAACGTTCTGATTTATGAACATCTTATGGGACAGATTAAGTTAGTAAGTAAAGGCACCACTGTATATGCAGAATACATAATGCGAAAGGCTGGACTGGAGGAACCCCAAGCTGGAATTAAGTTTGCTGGAAGAAATATCAACAACCTCAGATATGCAGATGATACCACTCTGATGGCAGAAAGTGAGGAGGAATTAAAGAATCTCTTAATGAGGGTGGTTCTGTTGAAGGACTGTGGATTTGGAGATTGAGAGACTTAGCCATACGGATCATGTTGGGCGTAAGTTTGGAAGACTTCCGTCAGTGATGGTGGGTTGGCATCAACAAGTTTGGATTCTGGTGAGCTAAGTAATACTGACGGCGTCTGAGGTCTGCATCTGTAATCGGAATAATCAGGATCGTGTCAGGAGTCGACGGATTGTTGATCGACTTTGGTGTCGATAGGTTGAGTGTCACAGTATTGATGTTTGTGGCTCGGTGTTGAGGAGCTGGCATGTCCATGGGCATTTGTTGGTGTTGAGGATTTTTGATACAGAGATATGTCATCCGAGTGTCCATGGACGTTGTTTGGTTCTATCGGGCAACGGAAACTGCGTGTCAACAGAAGGACAGAACAAGTGTCCATAGTGTCGAACTCGGGGTCATAGAGATGTCGAGTTCAATAGCTTGGTTCTATCGGGCAACGGAAATTGCGTGTCAACAGAAGGACAGAACAAGTGTCCATAGACCAGGATGGATATCGAAGATCATCGATATCAGAGCCTGTCTCGGTGATGTTGAAACGGAGGTTGCTGACGAGCTGACGAGTAAAGCAGTGGAGTATATAGACAGTGGAGATGCCGAGCGAGAGGAATGATTTCCCTCGTCTGGATTAGCGGAAAAATATTGGGAGGCTGAAGCTGTAAAAGCCTCGCGTGTAGAAGAAAATTGCTCGACCGTCCTGGATCTTTTAGGTGCCAGGTAGGAAGCAGGTTGGAGACCATGTGGGTCATGGTGATATGGCCTTTTCGACACTGATGGCTGTCGAGATCGAGGCCCGCCATGAGAAAGTACGGCCGAGCTGGATAGAGCAACTGGCGGTCACAGTTTGTCCAAGTACGGCCGAGCTGGATAGAGCAACTGGCCAATTGGCGGTCACAGTTTGTCCGGTTGAGCACTGGTCAGGGCAAATGGCAACCCGATGAGAGTGCTAAACGCAGGTCTGAGCCACATGTCATGAAATAGACGGCTCCTGGGACTGTTGGAGCTGATGTCTCTGAGGTGGTCATGGTGGACGATCAGATGTTACCGAATAAGGTAAGGTCTCTAATTGTTGTTCGGAGTCGACCCTGTTAGGTGAAGCAACGACAGAAGAGTTGCTCGAAAGAACAGAGTGTTGAGGACTGGGAGGAGAAGATGTTAATAGACTCTGTCATTCCATTCCGGTGATTGGGAGCAGGATTGATGAGAGGGGGTTCCGTCATCATCAGAAGACGAACCAATAGAAATTGATTCGGACGTTTGTTGAGGTTGCTGAGAGATGACTGCAGCTTTAGATTTATTCTGTATAGGTCTTTTAGGCGGAGAAGGCTCTGGGACTGAAGAGGCTTCGGTGGATATTTGACATTTAGTGGAGGGCTTCAATATCAAGGATTTCAGTATCGAGCGCTTCGATTTATGGGTTTTGGAAGTTTTGGAAGAACTGGATGGAGCATTGGACTGGGATGGTGTGGTCGATGGACATTGTTTTGAGGCCTCAGAAAAAGCCTTTTCCGTTGCTTTGGTTTGTGAGGTGGCCTTACAAGGAGGTTACGCCATTTTGATTGGTTGAAGGGATTGTTCCCAAAGACAGAGTTTTAATCTGGATAAGCGAGAACGGAGGACTCCGCCCTTGAAGTTCTTACAATGTTGGCAGGATGATGTCTGGTGTGCCTCTCCCAAGCAAAAAAGACACTTCACATGGCCGTCGGAGAGTGGTATTTTGTTACTTTTGTTAAACATACCACACAGTGTTTAAACGGGCCCAAAGGGGCCATGAATAGGAGAAAAATAATTTGAGGAGAAAAAGCAATGATTGGAGGGGGGGGGTTTGCTGTGGGCAGAGGCCGACTGAAGCAGAAAGGAAAAAAATCTCTGATTGATAATGAATTTGATCTAAAAGTTTAAAGGAAAAAAGATTGATAACAGGAAGGAATCAAAAATAAACTCTCTCTTTTACTCACAGAAGCAGAACTATGAGGGTCTCAAAATGGCAGCTGAAAGAAACTGAAAGGGGAGCCTTGGCGCCAAGGTACTTATACGAGGGGGCGGGCCTTATTCTAATGTGTTTTTGCTACCACAGAAGCTCTAGAAGTTTCCGATGAGGCTCCGCACAAGCGCAGATCACCCAGGGTGTGATTCACAGAGGCCACGAAGAAAAACGTCTAGTCGAATCCTCTACCAATCTAGGAATCTACAGCTGAAGCCATTATGAACAGGAAGTTGGAATCTCCTTTCTCATAATTTCACATCCTTGTTCACATCCTACTATTTACAGCCACAAAAACCAAGCATGCCTCATTTTTTGTGTGGCAGCCTTTGAGATACCGGAAGAAAGCTATCATATCATCTCTTAGTCTTCTTCTGCCCCAGTTAAATACGCTCATCTTCCTCAACTGTTTCTTATAGGACTTGGTTTCCAAAGCCTCCAACATTTTAGTTGCCTTACTCTGGATACACTCCAGGTTGCTGATATCTGTAATGAAACTGGAATTCCCAAAATTCAAGACAATATTCCAGATAAAATCTAAATAAGCAGAATAGAATAGTACTATTTTGGCCCTTATCTGGAAACGAAAACTCTGTTGTTACAACCTACAATTGCACCACTCTTTTGCTGCTATATGACACAATAGACTTACAGTACATTTAGTTCATACTTTGACAAACTAAATACTTTCATCACTGCTCTCAATCTGGTATCATCTATCCTAACTCTACATTTATTCCTATTGAAATTCATTTTGGTGTTGTTAAGGTTTGGGGTTTTTTTTGTAAACACTCTAATCTGTAAAGGTCATCTTTAATACTGATGGAACATTCTGTGTTAACAGTTATCTTTCTCACTTCAGTGTATAATATTCCAGATAAAATCTAAATAAGCAGAACAGAATAGTACTAACAAGGCCATCAAGTCCAACCCCCTGCTCAATGCAGAAATACAATCAAAGCATATCTGCCAGCTGATTATCTAAGTTTTTGTCAAATGCCTCCAGCGTTGGAGCGCTCACCAAGTCCCGAGGAAACTGGTTCCACTGTACTGCTCTAACAGTTAGGAAGCTTTTCCTGATATTCAACCAAAATCTGGCTTCTTTTAACTTGAGCCCGTTGTTGCATGCCCTGCACTCTGTATGACAGCCTTTCAAATATTTGAAAAGTGCTATCATATCACACCTCAGTCTTCTTTTCTCAAGGCTAAACATGCACAATT